CTGGAGTATTTGTCTCCATTTTCTCCCCCTCTTTAGCTTGTTCTTTTCTTGGACCTGATACCGGTACCGTCCCGAATCTATAATAGAGGTTATATCCCTCTTTCTCTATTGCCTCCTTGGATTTGAGGTCAATTCCTATTGTGAGGACCTGACATGGCCCTCCTCCTTCGAGTTGAGGACTCGCCAGCTCGATGTACTCACATTCTCGTTCTGAGCTTGGATAAGGTCTAGCAGGTAGGTGGTGTCTTTCCCCTTGCTTCTTGGCAGAAAGACCGTGATGGTTGTCCCTTTAGGGATGTTTTCTCCCCTCATTCACCAACCAATCCGCCGATTTTTCAGATGCACAATCTATGAGGATCATGCCCACCCTAAAGTGTATCCCCGCAAAGCGCAGCTGACCCACACTTTGTGGATCGTTGCGTCGCAATCCGCTCGCTACTACTTCGTCCAGTATCGCCTCTTCTAGAGCCGTTTGCTGGTCGGTAGTCAGTACAACCTCCGGATATTCCTTTGGAAGCACCGCAATTACTCTTGAATAAACTATTCAATCTAAACAAAAAAAATAGGGTATTAAACATAAAAATTAAATATCTAAAAAATAGCAGTTTATAAATAATTTTACACATCTAAACAAAACAACTCAGAATAACAAGACCTGGCAGTTAGATATACTATATGACCGAAAAAAAACGTCAAGTTGACAATTGAAGACATTACCCATATAATTTTACATATCAAAATGACAGCAATATTGATTTTTAAGTCACCTTTCAGGCATTTTTTTTCGATGGTTGGTACAAATAAAATTACTAAGGTGTAAATACCATATAATCGAAACAAAAACGTCGCGTTAGAGGTGGCGTGGAGATGAAGATTGCTGTTATTTTGTAAGTAAACTTATATGGGGAATGTTATCGATTGACATTTCTAAGTTATCTGGACACAATTTCTTTTTCGATCAGATGGTATAATTACAATCGAAAGTTACTTATGCTGATTTAGATATTTTTCAAAGAGTAGTAATTTTGTTTTTCTTCAATTTCGTTGGGTTTTTCCATATCAAGTCGAATTTTCTTCATTTCTTCAACTTTTTGATCTCTATTTTCAACTTTCTTTTTCGAAAGACATCTAGTCGTTTCAATCTACTTGTTGACTATTAAATTTTGCAGTTTGTGTAGACAGTGTAGACACTGATGTATCACTCTGTAATCTCTCAATAGATTGAGAGATCAGTTCCTCTTCCCTCAATTGGTAGGCAATGATGATATGATGTTTACAGTACGTACAGAACAATCTGTTGTTCCAAATATCTCCTCAAACCTTGAAAAATATTTCCAATATATTTGTCCTCGGCCTGTACGACTCTTAGTATTATTGTTGTCACATGTAGTAGTATGTATGTATGTATGTATTGTTGTCACAATTTTTAAATAAGTGCTTTTCATGTTCCTCATTTTTTATCTAATATTTCCGGACTAACAAAATATCCATTTTTTCAAATTGTTGTGATAATTCCAACCATAATTCTTTTTTTTTAATTTTAGGATTTCTGATTTTGTACTTCTCATATTCAGCTAGAAAATCAAAATTCTATGGTGTGTCCATTTCAATTTTTCACCTAAAAGAATTAAAAAATATAGATATATGTACATATATACATGTGAATTTTTTTTCATTATTTATTCTTGTAAAAACTTACCCTCAACATCTTCATACTGCGTTTCTACCGTATGATCGAATAAAAACGGCGCGGCGTCAGCGATGGCTATGAAATGAAAATCACTGTCATTTTATATGTAAAATTATATGGGAAATGTCAGCGATCGTCATTTCCAGGCCAACTGGACGCCGTTTTTTTTCGATCATACGGTATTTCTGACTGACTTTCAAAATTGTTACCGGAACCATTGTTTTCTTCTAAAAATTAAAGGGTGAAATAAAAATATATTTTTATTGTAATAAAAAACAAATAGGTATTATCAATTATCACATATAAAATACTCTATGAACTCACTCTCAGTATCATCATCTCCTATGTGTACTTCTAAATTGTTTAAATTATTTTGCCAACTGATGCTGGTAGCAACATCACCTTCTGTAATAAAATAAAGAATTTCATGTACATGAATATTACATAAATAGTAGTATAAAAAGTATTTACCTTTATAAAGGACCATTACTTAAATATTTAGCATTATTTAAGTAGCATGAATTTCTTCAGAACGACAAATCTATTTTTATATTTCATTTTAATTCGAATCGGACGTTTTAGATTAGCCTACTTTGTAACTTTTTTTGACAACAAATATCTGCTATTTTTTAAGGATTCGATTAACTACCTTTAATCGAATTAACTACCTTTAAATAATTCGACTAACTTCGAGACCCGACAAATATAGGTGTTACTTACAGCACTCCCCAGTAACACACCATATTGGCGCAACGTTGGTTCTATATTGGTAAAATATTGTATATGGGCCCAATATTGGCAATTTCTAGCCAATATTGGTAATATATACAGGTTGTTAATTTGTTTATTACTCGCGGCAAGAGCTTTATCGTTGAAATATGACAACCTTGGCCCGGTCGTCGATAGACGACGCGACGGGACGAGTCGGCAGAACACCCTATAAGTTCATGCGTTCTCAATATGCAGTGTTGCCATTCTGTTCCCCTAAAAGTAACTGTCGAGTTAACAACCTGTATGAGTCGCACTTTTTATATTATATTTTTTCCGAGAAGCTTAATAGTCGGGCCAATGTGTAATCCGCTTGCAAAAAAGTGAGGCAAGTATGAATCATGCACCAAAATTTTTAGAAAAATAAGTGGATTTGATTTTTTTTTGGTACCAAGCCTTTATGTATGTCAGAAGGGAGAAGCAACCCCTATTAGGGATTAAGGGGTGGAAAATAAGTATCACCATTTTACATTAACGAATTGTTTTTTATTATCGTTTATCTATTTACAAAATAATTTTTAACTATGTTGAACCTGATTTTTGGTTTGACGCCATATTTATTTTAAAGGGATGATTTTTAACTTTTTTAGTATATATTTTTTGTATACAATTGGGTGTCGATTTCATATATCTTTGGGATGACTAACTTAATGGTATATATTATATCGCTATAAGGTTATTTGCAAAGCCCTTTAACCCTTTTGTTTATATTTATACATACATATTATACATATCTCTATCAGATTTTTTAGGTTTCAAAAAAATAACCTTTTATAATTTCAAATTTTTATTGAAATATTTTACAATTTGCAAGAATTTATCCAAGTCCAAATATAGAATAATATAATATATATAATTTATAAAGTCCAAATCAGAATCTTCAAGTTCATCGTCATTATTACTGTCATTAACAGTGACATTATCGCAGCTGGCTGTGTTTCCAGAACATTCCCACGTTTCTGTGCAAAACAAACCGCTAGACGAACATTTACAACGAAGATGCAGCTTGATTTTTGACAGGAACACTTTATATTGTTTAAAACAAAATCAGGTACTAATGATAAATCGGATGTAATGGGTTCATATTTACCATTTTCGAATTTCCAGCCGTAATCATCCGGTGATGGAAGGTTTGGATGAGCCAATATATCACGACACCACTCCATACATTGATAATGGCATCGTCTTATAGCTGGTTTTAAGGCTCCTAAAGTAGGCGGAAAGGCATCAGAACTTTGTTTTTTTGAAAATGTCCACCACCTCATATCATAGGTAGCTTTAGAAGGTTTTTTCACAATATCCCTAACATCTGTATTGGAGCAGAGGCGAGGATGTTAAGAAGTTTCAACTGCATTCTGTCCTTCACTATCTGGATCTATTTTTCTTGGATGCACTATATTTAAATTGTTAATTTATTAATGTCACTTTCAATCACTATACTAGTTTCTTTTGTCTTCTAATAAATTTCACTTTACTATCTGAAATAAAAAATAATGATTATCTAAAGTTTTACTACTACCAAAAATCAAACAATTCTTTATCTTGATAACTGTTTCGTTTCCTACGGGTGTTAACTTACTTAACTTGTGAAACATACATATCAAGATTTAAAAAAATATATATATTATTACTGTTTAGTTTTTAGTAACAGTCAAACTTTTTGATTTATATGAAGAAAATCCTGAATACGTAACACTAAACCTTAAAAAGCAAAAACAAGTTGATATTCAACAATACAATCATACCTACAAGTAAATTAAAAAAACATTACTTTTTAGTATTAAAAGTGACTAAAAAACAAACATATTTAACCCTAAAATAATTAAATAGGTAAATACGCTGCCCTTCTTTTAAAGTGGATATTTGGATTTATTGCATAAAACATAACACCACTGACAATTTGGTTCCAAATAACAATTATCCAACTTAATTTGTCATATTATGTAATTTTTAATGTGGAAATTACAAAATATTACTAGCAACGTTGAATATAATTATTTTGTACCAAAATGTCAGTGGCATTTTGTTTTGTGCAATAAATCGAAATACCTACTTGAAAAGACGCGCAGTGTACGTTCTCATCCAGGGCTTTTTTAAAAATTGATCTAATATATAAATTTGCCGGCCCGAAGCCCGTGTTCTATATATATAGAACACGACACCAATATCAATATTTTACGTCTATAACAACTTTTCAAAAATTGGATCCCGCCTAACTAGGGGAGGGGGTATTTCTCCGCTCTGACATGGATGTGGGGCAGGTACCAAAAAAAATCGTATTCTAGATGATACTCTGAAAATTTTAAGGTATCTCACAACATTTCCTCATGAAATTGCAAGCGAACTATGTATTTTGACAAATTGGCCCTTGACTATAAAGCATTTTTGTTTTGAATATGCGAAAAAAATACAGAGGATATCTCATTAAAACCATAACTGTGATTAATATTTAAATAATGACGAATCATCTGTAACGATTTATTTATTACGCCAATACTAGATACTTTTTAAACCATTTGATTATTTTTGGTTTTATTTTCAGGGACACGAATGTTCTGATATACATTAAAAGAAGACTAGCCATGTGCGCACGTAAACTTGGCAAGTTTAAAGAGGCTGTTAAGATGTTTAGAGATTTAACGAAGGAAATACCACCAATTATGAATGTTTTAAACATACATGAAAATCTTATAGAAACTTTATTAGAGATGCAGGCATATGCTGATGTTCAAGCTGTTTTGGCGAAATATGACGATATCTCATTACCAAAATCGGCTACAATTTGCTACACAGCAGCACTTCTGAAAGCAAGGTTTGTTCTTTTGTTTTAACATAATATCAAATTTCATCGAAATTTTGCAGGCTTGTCGCAGATAAATTTTCACCCGACATTGCCAGTAAAAGAGGTCTGAGTAGTGCAGAGCTTCAAGCAGTAGAAACTATACATAGGGCAGTCGAATTTAATCCTCACGTTCCTAAATATTTGCTAGAAATGAAGCCACTAATATTACCACCAGAACATATTCTCAAAAGAGGGGATTCCGAAGCACTTGCGTATACGTTTTTCCATATGACACACTGGAAAACAGTTGAGGGGGCTTTAAATTTGTTACACTGTACTTGGGAAGGCACTTTTAGGATGCTGCCTTATCCTCTAGAAAGAGGGCATTTATTTTACCCATATCCAACATGCACAGAATGCGCTGACAGAGAATTATTACCAACGTTTCATGAAATATCAGTGTATCCAAAAAAGGAACTTCCGTTTTTTATCATTTTTACAGCAGGTTTATGTTCATTTACAGCATTATTAGCTCTTTTAACCCATCAGTATCCAGAAGTAATGGGTTTTATTGCCAAATCTGTAGTGAATTGGATGTCACTTCCAGTTTATTATATGTACGAAAAATTTGAGAATGTTATCCCGCCTAACTTGTTACAACAACTTATTAGAATTTAGGCCACAAATTTTACTTTTACTTTAGCTCTCTTAATAACATACGAATATTTTTCACACACTGATGTATTTTTTATTATTTCGAAGCGCAAACCTGATTTAAACATTAATATAAAATTGAATATTATATTTTTTGGCGAAGGGTAGAAATAGTAGGGCCCCTATCTGAATAGAAAATATAAAAAAAATATTAAGAATAAACTTATTTGTCAAGTTACTATTTGAATAAAAATTAAAGGCCCCTATTGTGCTGTCTAAATTTGTCTATTACTTTGTTTGCAAATGTAGTATCCTCCCTTATATTTTTTCTGTGAACTTTGAACATGAACAGTCCGCATATGCACCTCCATAAAAGTAATCCTGGCGGTGCCCTTTATTATATTCATTAGTCTACAGGGTGGTCCGAACTGTATTCCGGAAACTTCGGCAGCATATTATACTGATAAAAATAAGTAAAAAATTTAAATAAATGTATGTCCTAAAATGCTTAGTTTCGGAGATACAGGGTATAGAACTTTCATTTTTATTTCTATTTTTTGCAAATAATTTCTGAAGTAGCGTCAATATTTGGATGAAAATTGGTGTCTGGGAGTTTTTTGACATGAGAAATTTGATTCTGATGTCAATATGACTCCTATTTGTAGGTGGCGCCACCTACTTGTGTTTTAGCTATTTTGAAGAGTAATAACTTTTTGTCCGCACCTGTATAAAATTACCGAGTGAAAAAATATGTATTTCCGTGATTTTCTACGTAAAAAATGTCTCTTGGTAAAAATCGCTACGAGCAACCGTTCTCAAGATATTTACAATGGAAATGGTCAATACACGTCATTATTGACTAGTTATACTAGGATAGTTATTTGACTGAAATCGAGGGGTAAACACATAGGGCAAAAAGTGTACACCTACATCCTCTATCCTTAGTACATCCCCTAAATCCTCCAGTACATCCTCGGTACATCCCCTACATCCTCGGTACATCCCCTACATCTTCGTACATCCCCTAGTACATCCCCTACATCCTCGGTACATCCACTACATCCTCGGTACATCCCCGGTACATCCCCTACATCCTCTAGTACATCCTCGGTACATCCCCTGGAAATCCTCTCATGTGTACGCCATTTTTTTTTTCCACAATAAGGGGCCGTCCTCTGCCGGAAACACTGCGACCTGTGAGGTCTATTGTGTTTGTCCCCTTTCTATATCTGCACCCATTCTCCCATGCCTGTGCCCTGCACTAACTTATGCAGGTCCTTGATAGGATGGGAGCATAGTTCCTCCGGTTCTAGCCTAGCTTTCCAAATAAAAAGTGTCGCTTGCGATCCAGAGCCTCGCAGTGACATATTATGTGCTCCGCTGTTTCAGGATCTTTATCGCAGAGTCTGCAGCAAAGACTTCCTTGATACAGATTGAGCTTGTTCAGGTAACACTTGACAGCCATATGTCCTGTCAAGAGGCCTGTTGTAATCCGCAATTTATTCCTGCTAAGCATTAGCAGTTCTTTTGCGGTTTTGGAGCTAGGTCCTTGGATAAAAGCCTTGCTGTGCCTGTGCCCCTGTCTGTGTACGCCATACATTTAGAATAATTTTCGTGATGAACCGTTTTACGTATCTATAAAATACTTTTCGAGATATACTTATCTTGGACACACTGTATATATTTTTTTTAAATTTTATTTGAATGGTAAAAAGAAAGTTAAAATTTTGAACGCTATTATCTCCGAAACTATTAAATATATAAAAAAAAAGATGAAGCACCATTTCGACTTACATTTACTAGAGGGATATTAAAATTTACAGGGTGTTTTTTATTTAAAATAACAAAATTAAGGTTACTTTACTTCGACGAAACCGGAATTGTTATTTATGTTAGAGCGATCTCCCACTTTATTACGAGCTTTATTATATGTATTATATAACTACACAAAATTTCTCAAACCTCTACAATTTATTGGCTAGTAATATAGTTGACACCTAATATTTTTGTTGAATTCAAAAGGATAAAAAAAAATCAAAACCATTTAAAAAAATTATATGGGGTCATCGAGAATCGAACTAAGGCGCGCCAACCCATATCAAATCTTGCCAGAGCTGTAACAATCTCGGCTATTATTGTGCCTACAACAATTCGCCGTTACTTTTATTATACAGGGTGAGTCTTAAATAGGTGCAAATATTTTCAGGGCTGGTAGATCTCGATAAAAGAAACATATTTTTTCTTTACCATTTTTCAAATAAGTCCAAAATAACCGAGTTATTTAAGTTTGAAAATTTAAAAAAAAATGATTTTTTTAATTTTGATAGCCACCTGAATTTTTTCTGTATTTGCATCCCTTTTAGTGCCGTAACCATAGAGTAAAGCTGTAACTATGGTAATATCAGAGATTAAGAATTTATAACGTGGGAAAATTAGCGATGAACAGGCAGTTCTAAAAAGTTTTCGAAAAATATACAGGGAAATTTAAAAGAACATGCACGATTTTTAACATATTTTATTTGCAAAAAAACATCATAGACGTGTTCCTGGGGTCAAAATATACCACCCCTGAAAATATTTGCACTTATTTAAGACTTACCCTGTATAACAGCAGTTTATGCCTCGGTTTATGCAGTTTATGTCGGCGGAAAAAATAACTTAGTCATGCGTAAAGCCCTATATTATGTGCAAAGTTATCAATCTCGTGTTTTGAACCCCAAATAAAAATGAGATCTAGTAGCTACCGAGGATCTACTTTATAAAACAGACCTAAAAATAGGCAACGCTAAAGGCATTCGCATTTATGAACTTCGTTTTTGACGTATAGAGGGTACAATAATAATTATTTACACACACTTCCCTTTAATTCATAACGCTTACGGCACTATGCAATAAGATATGAACACACATGCCAAACACATTTTTGCATAAACTTATACCAGAGATATGGATTAAAGTCTATATATCTGACTTATACATACATTTTGGGAGATATTTTGAGGTTATGAGTAGGGGTGAGCCACAAAGCCTTGAGTATCGATATTTTTATCGATATATCAAATAAAGGTCCATTTTCACTCCCATGAAATTTGTGCAAATCGGCTTGTGAAAATCGGCTTGTGCAAACTTTATTTAATAAATTCATTGAGAAAAACGGATGTGCACAAGCTAATTCACATACGTGAAAACCAAGTAACGATATATTCGTCCACAAATATCGATATAGCTATCGATATAACAGATACCGCTATATCTCTTTATGAATACTTCATATCGGAAATATCTATATCTATCTATATTCTCAATATCGATATTCGATCCTATTTGATTTCGTACAGGGTGGTTGTAAAATATTGAATAAATATCAACATCTCGAGAACCACATTTTTTTGGAAATCGCTCGGCCACATCAATTATTTTAATTTTTCCGGGGCAGATTATGCAAAAAATGAATATTATTCCGGGGGTCTCAAAAATGCTTTGTCCAAAACAATTTCTTTTAATGGAAACCCTCGTGGCAACATAATTATTATTTTTCTGCATTTTTGAATTGCCCTTAAAATTCTGAATATTTTCCTTGTAAGTGCTATACCCAAATCCAAGCTTTTTGGAGTTATTCTCATTTAAAAATTAAAAAGTGAAAAAAAAAATATTAGAAAGAAACCTTTTTAAGAGGATACCGAAGAGGATACCTTATGGAAAATGTATTCAAAAGACAACCCACAAATTTGGATGACTTGAAACATCGCATTCGGCAAATTACGCTCCAAATAATTTGAAATACATCCCCGGTAAATCCTCGATACATCCCCTACATCCTCTAGTACATCCTCGGTACATCCCCTACATCCTCGGTACATCCCCTACATCCTCTAGTACATCCTCGGTACATCCACTACATCCTCGGTACATCCACTACATCCTCGGTACATCCACTGGAAATCCTCTCATGTGTACACCATAAATCCCCTAAGTGTTCACCCCTCGACTGAAATGAGAAATTTGAGAACTTTTTATTTTTTTAAACTAATCATAAATTTTTCTTTCAAGAAATGATCATTCAGTTTTCTTTCAAGAAATGATCATTCAGTTTTCTTTCAAGAAATGATCATTCAGTTTCTGTTGAACTTTTGACACAAAAACATATCAAATTTATGATTTTAGTCTAATAACTAAATTAGTCAACATGTTTAATTTATGTTAATGGTGACAGGTTTTGGTAAATTCGATTCGAAATATCTCGAGAACCATTACTCGTAGCGATTTTTCCAAGAGAACTTTTTTACGTATATTTTTTAACTAGCTAGTTTTATACAGGTACGGACGAAAGTTATTACTCTTCAAACCAGTTAAAAAATACGTAGGTGGCGCCCTCTACAACTAGGAGTCATATTGACATCGAAATCAAATTTCTCATATCAAAAACTTCCCAGACACCAATTTTCATCCAAATATTGACGTTACTTTGTAAAAAATTGAAATAAAAATGAAACTTCTACACCCTGTATCTCCGAAACGAAGCATTTTAGGACATACATATTATATAATTATATATTAACTTTTTTACTTATTTTTATCTGCAGAACATGTGTTCCAGAATACCGTTCGGACCACCCTGTATAGGGTTCATGGTGATATGGTAGGTTAAATGTTTATGGAGAACTGGTGATAATATTTCTTTGAAAATCTCGATTTCAGCATAAAGATACCTGTTCAATCTATCTAAATTATTTTCAGTGTTACACTATTACCATCATTTGAAAAGTGGTAGTAGCTTTATTATTTTAAATGGAACAGAAGATATTATATTACATTCCTGGAAACTTCTTTCATATCTCATAATTTTTCTATTATATTAACCTATACCTGTCACCAATAGTTTTCGAGATAAAAAATAAACGCCCTGGCTGAACAACGGCCGGTGGTATTGCTTGTGTATACGTATTTTTATATTGTAAATGCTACTACTCTAGAGCTATAGCTAGACTTAGGTTAATACCTAACTATAAGGTCAACCGACCACCAATCATTACTGTTTTGAGTCCCTCCATTCTGAAGAACTCATTTCGAGATGATAACATAACCTTTATTTTTGCATTTCGATTAGGTGATAAAAAATTTAGGATTTGTTGCTTTGTAAAAAACTCGTAGAGTTGCGTTGCCTAGGCTGCCAGGGCCATTCTGGCAAAGTACTTTTCTGCTTTTCTTTTTTCGGGATTATCACGTTTTATGGACCTTCACTGATTTATCTTTCTTAATGACTAACTATTATTGAGGCTA